GGTGCACAGGATAACGTTCTCGAGGTAGCCATCTGTCTCGCAGCAAGCGGCATGGAAAACCCTATTCGCCGCATTTTGCGGCAAAATGTCGACCTGTCTCGCACACCCATCGACCGTTCGTGGGCCGGCCCATGTTGGATGCCTCCTACAGAGAAATTCGTTAGAAAAATGAAGAGACGGAGGAATCGAACCTCAAACCTCCCACAACTGGAGGTGCGTATCAAGCCACTCTAGCTTAACAACACTTGTGTCTTACACATGCAAAAAGGTCTGCTATTATCTGTTTCTTTCTTTCACGTTTTCTGTTTTCCTGTTTCTTTCTTTCTTTTATTTTTGTTCTAGAAATATCGCAATTTCAAAAAAGTTCACTATATTCAATACTTTATTCGGCTTTTTATAAAAAATGTTTGATTCTTTTTGTTCATGTTTCAATAAACATTTTGTTCTTTTCAAAAAAATGTACAAAATTTGTTTGTGTTTCAAAATGTGTTCGGTGTTTCCAAATTTGTTCGTGATTTTCAAAAAATGTTCACATTTTCAAATTTGTTCAAGCTTTCCAAAAAAATGGAATTTCACATTTGCTGTCATTTTTCAAATTTTGCATGTGATTTTCAAAAAATGTTTGCGTTTTCAAATTTGTTCAAATTTTCAAAAGAGTTTTGGAATTTCACATTTGTTCCATTTTTAAAAAAAATCGTGTTTTTCAAAAAATTATTCGCATTTCAATTTTTTTTTCATGTTTTCAAAACTTGGATAGAAAATTTATAAATGTTCAAGAATTTCAAAAAATGTTTATGGTTTTAAACTTTTGTTCATACTTTCATGAAATATTCCATTTTTATTTTTTTGTTCACCAATAAAAAAATGTTTGTTGTTTGAATATTTGTTCGGAATATCATGAAATGTTCCATTTTTCAACTTTTTGTTCACAAATTCAAAAAATGTTAGCGGTTTCAAATTTGTTTGGAATTTCATAATTTGTTCACATATTCAAAAAATGTTCACGGTTACAAATTTCTTTGGAATTTCATAATTTGTTCACACGATTTCAAATTTGTTCACAAATTCAAAAGGTGGTTCACATTATCACAAAAACAATTTTTGACTTTTCAAATTTTTTTGTTCACATATTCGAAAAATGTTCCTGTCTCTATTTTTTCATCAATTCAAAAAAGGTGCGCACTTGTTTAAAGAGACACATTGAAAGAAAGTATACTTTTAAAAAATCAATACAACAAGTAATTTCGGGTTCGCTACAGTAATTTGGATCCGGCTTGCCTGCTCCCTCCCCATGCTCCCATCCGTGCTCCCACTTCATCCTACGGTTGTCTTTTTTCCTCTTTTCTTTCTAATCTAATCATCTCCCCCCTGATTTTACGGGGATGGGGCCGGACCTTATTTTGTTTCAATCAAATCAAGCCACATACGCGGGAGCACGGATGGGCACACGCCGGGGGAGCAGGCAAGTCTCGTCCCAGTAATTTGTTCCTCGTCGCGCCTGCCTTTCCTTTTTGCCTTTTTCGTCCCGCGGTGAAGCTTCATGGGCTGGCCCAGTCGAGCTGCCCCTGTGCGTCTGGCCGCCAATTTGACGCAAAAAGCGTCCAATAGGAGCTCTCAAGTGGCACATGGCCACTCTTCCGTGAGGGTCGGGGGATAGCGGCCGTACGTGCACCATCGCCGCAAAAATAGGCTGGTCCATTTCCTCTGTTTTCGGTGTTTTGCTTCTCTGTTTCCCAACCGGTTTTCTGAACATTTTTCTTTTTTTTCTCTGGGATTTTCTTCTTCTTTTGTAGGTTTCCCCTTTTTCTGTTTTTTGTTCTAAAATTCAGGACATTTTTGGGAAATTCTATATAATTGATAAATCCGGATGTAATTATTTGGATACATCAACATTTTTCGAATTCTTGGAACACCTTTTTTAATTCTTGAACATTTTTTGAATCGGTCAATTCCTGAATTGGCAACATTTTTTGAAATGCACAAATATTATTTGAATATGTGAACATTTAATGAAAATTTAAAAAGATATTAAAAATCTGTGAACATTGTTTGAATTTGTGAAAAGCATATTCATTAATAATTTTTTGAAAAAAGTGGAGAACACTTTTCAAATTTGTGATCATTTAGTTGAAATTATGAGAAGAATGTTTAAACTCCAGAAACATTTTTTAAAATTCATGAAAATTTATTAAATCCGAAATTTAGTTTAAAGTAGAAAAACGAAAAAAGATAAACAAAAGATAAAAAACGAAAAAGAAAAGTAGACCACAAAAGGGCCGACCCAAAGGGGCGCACATTGTATCGTATGGGGTGCGCGTTTGGGTGACTCCTATCGCCCTAAATGGGGATTAGGAGCTCCGTCTCACATCAGGTGAGAAAAGCGATGCTTGGCCAAAACCTAACAGACACAAATGTATCCTTACCAGGAATTTGAGGCCCTGGGACAAAATATAAAACGTGGCCCTAAAATTATAAAATAAAAATCATATAACTTTGAACTATCCTGGAAAATATATCGTTACTAGATGCCAAGACGAAGCAACTAGCAGGCGGGGCTTGACTGGGGGAGAGCAGCGGCCGCCGATGAATTGCAGCAGACCGGCAGACCTTGACTTGCCGGTCCGTCGAACCGGAGAAGGCGAGAGGCGGCGCGAGTGTGCGGGAGGGAGGCCGTAGTCCTAAGGCCAACTCCACCGCGCAACCCTATCCTGTCCGGCCCCGTTCATTTGGAGTAAAACGGACAAACAAAACGGCCCAGCGCGCGACGACCCGAATCCATCTTGTCCGTTTTGTGTCCAGGCCGACCCATTTCGAGCGCAAACTTGCGTCGGGTTTGGGTCGCGACGGACACCAAACAGACTCGCGCCTCGTCCGCGTCCGGGCCGTGTGGCAGGCGGTCACCTACCTCCCATCCGCACATCAATGCGCACGAGCGGGCGACCCCACCTGTCATCCGCACATTCAAATGTCGTCGTCCTTCTTTAAAGTGGGAAGCGTGGACGAGTCGTTATCCACACTGCCCCACGCCATCCCGCGGCCTCCTCGAAACCGGACAGCGACGAACCCAAACCCTAGCCAAGAACTCGCCGGCTGGCTGCCCGCAGCCATTGGCCTCTGGAACTACGGCCGCAAAGGCAAGCACGACCGCGAGGTTGGCTCCTCCGGGACGCCGCCGCGGCTCGGTGAAGAAGGAAACGCCCGCGTCGCCATCGCCACCACGTCGGACCCCCGCGCCACCCGCGTTCTCCATCGCGCCCACGGCCGCCGGCGAGCACGACCGGCACTACATCGAGGCGGCCGTCTGCCGCCGGTATTGGGAAACGAGGACGCCGCTACCCTGGAGCGACGTCCACCTCCCCAATAAGTGGCACCTGTCGGCCAACCACGTGCCGATTCCGCCCTCCCGCAGAGCGGCCGTGCGCGCCGCCAGGAGATCGAGCGCCACCGCCGCCTCCTCCCGGACGACCTCTACTACGACGAGAGGTACGACCCGACTCGCCATTGTGGGACACTTGGCTTCGCGATGAGCACGACGTGCGGCGGGCGTTGTTCTTCGCCGGCACGTCGACAGGGCCGTGGCGGCCACGTGAGCCCCGAGCGGTTCCCCAGGCGCGCGGGCGTACGCGGGTGTGTGGCCTGACGCCCACGCCGTCGCCGTCGCCATCTCCATCGCCACCCCCACCTCCTTGCATGACGGCGGAGGAGGAGGCCCGGCTCATGGCGCGTGTGCTGGAGGACTCCAAGCACATGCACGACGAGCGCCAATGGGCGAACCCCGAGGAGACGATGGCCCTCTCCGCGGTCGGCGACGTCGCCATCCCCGAGCAGGAGATGGCGCCGAAGGAGGAGGTCGTGAAGGAGCCGCCGATGGCCGCGTTCCACCCTGACCTGGTCGGCCAGGGGTGGAGCTGGTCGTGCTCCGCTGAGCAGATGGCGGCCGCCCTGGGGGCCGTCAACTGGTGCCCCACGCCGACGCGGTCGCCGGAGCGGGAGGCCTCGCCTCGGGAGGAGGTGGTGCAGGCACCGCCCATCTTCCAGCCCGCCGCCCTCGTGCACCACGGACCGCCGGCCCACCTGTGGACGCCGCCGGACTACGTCGACCTTGTCAACGATGACGACGACACCGGCGGTCAGTGAAGACGGCGACGACGATGGCCACGACATTGACGGGCGCGGCAGGAGCGCGCGGGAGGCGTTTTTTTTATTTTGGTTTTATGTTAATTATGAAACTGGGCCTGAGAAACTGGGCCGTTATGTGGCCATACCCTATATAAGTTTTATGTTTTTTTAACTGTGTTTATTTACTTTTTTAGTCATTTCATTTAAGTTTTTAATTTTTTTTATTCACGTCCACCCCGGATAGGTTTTGAGATGCGGCCGCGCGTTGGACGCACCCACGACCCATCGGACAAACGCGGACATGGGCGAATCCATCCGCGCCCCAAAAGAATAAAATCTGGACAAACCGAACGTCCGTTTGGGGTCGCGCGGTGGAGACGTCCTAAGGCTAAAGCCTGTAGTAGGCGTCCGCAGAGATTGCAGGGGATAAGCGTCAATGTGCGGGCCAAAACTGGTTTCCTCCAGTTTTCTTTTTGATAGGGGCCCTGTGCGGTGGGCCACTTCGGCCGCCCTCATAGACGGGCCTGATCCTTACGATGGTAATGTTTTCTAGCCCTTCATCAAGCACAGCCAACCCATTTACTATCGTTTTCTCAAAAAAAAAATTTACTATCTCCATTAAAAAATACGTATAAGACGTTTTGGTAGGCCATTCGGCCTATGGAAAGGCCTGCAGTTTTTATAGAGAGAGAAAGGGCATCCGCCCCTGTCCATTTCATAGAAATGCAAACAACAAGGCCTGCCCAGCAAGGCCTGCAGGATTTACTCAAGAAAAAAAAAGGGAAAGGCCTCCAGGGGCAATAACTGAGCAGAAATGTGCCAGTACGAGTATTATCTCAGAATAAACCACACAGAGTTCCGTCCCAAACAGGCAGAGTATGTCATTTATAGGCTACACCATAAACATGGGGGCTAACGATATATGCAGATGACAGGCGCACCGCGTTCAGGCTCAAGCTCGAGAACCCGGCTTCCTTGATGTTTTCAGCTGTTTTCCTGGTGAGGTGGCACCCGTCAGCGACAAATTGCTGCAGAGGATCAAGGGCACCTTGCACGAACTGGAGGAAGGAACCATCTACGAGCGGACAAAATGAGCAGGAAATCAAGCAATGCACAGCAGCACAGGGACATATGTCTTCAACATAGAATAACAATTAACAAGCAACCACCAGAGGTTATGCATGCTAGTAGCTGGGGGTACCTGCTGCAGCAACATGCTCAATGAATAGGTAGAGACCACCGGGCTTTAGGACTCTCTTTATTTCTGCAGAAGTTAATGCCCAGAGTTATTCAAATAGAAAATGGTGGTTCTTAAAAGGAAAGGAAATACCGAAACATAGAAATGGAACTTAGGTCAGTAGCCAACTAGCCAATAACCTCAACTCATGGTCAGTGTGATGCGTAAAAATGGAGGCCAGAGTGTGGTCTGTAGTCTTTTTGAAACGAAGGTAGAGAGATCTCTACATAATATTCAAAAAGGCCAAACAGGCCAAGAATACAAACGCAGCAATCTCAGACCAAAGGTTGAAGAAAAGAGCTGCCAATGCCCGAAAGCAAAGACAAAAACCACAAAGAAGCCAAACAGAAAGATAAAAGGAAGGGAAAACTTAGGTGCCCCAGTTAAACAACATACTCCCTCCGTCCCAAAATTCTTGTCTTAGATTTGTCTAGATACAGATGTATCTAATACTAAAACGTGACTTGATACATCCGTATCTAGACAAATCTAAGACAAGAATTTTGGGACGGAGGGAGTACTATGTAATATTTATTTATAGCAAATGCAATGCCAATAATCCATGCATCATTATTAAGTAATGCAAATGGTACTCCTAAGGAAATGATAATGACTTTTAACTAGACAAGAATTGATGACATAGCATCATAGTCATTTTACCATTGAAATGTTTTTTGACTAGGAATTCGCCAACACACTGCTCTGCAATTCAATGTTCTGTATGTAGGAGTTATCGGTAAATGAATGCCCTATGTTGAACAGTATATCGGGTTAAATATTTCCATCTTAGTGCATCAACAGAGGACAATCCAGTTAGGCAGTTACCATTTAGCCAAAAGATAATAGTATGATGCGTTTTGTCTGTTGGAAGGCAAACTGATGGTATAGAGAATGTGTCATAAAGTGGTATCTTCTTAGCCAATCTAATTGCAACAACAACAAAGTCTTCCAGTCCCAAGCAAGTTCGGGTAGGCTAAAGTTGAAACCCCCATAAGATGTCGAAACCTAGTCATGGTTTTGGCACATGGATAGCTTAGCCCATCTAATTGCCTTACCAACAAAACTGAAGTTCTCAGATGACATAAACTTAGAACTATGTTACCTCTTAATGCCATATCAGTGTCCTTTACCGAACACAGCACCAATGTACCAATAACTGCATCCATGGAATCATCCTCTGCTGGCAAAGCTTCGGCGACCTAGGTAAAGCCATGCATACAAAACAGTTCTCATGCTAACAAAATGTAAGCAGACACCTAGTCCATGATCATAACTCATAAGGCATCATACTTCCATACCCCTCTTCTGAAAGTGAAATTTGATTGCGGAAGCCCGGCAGAATTTGCTGCTGCTCTAGAATACTCCTCCATGTACATGTTAGGATCTACCCCAGTTACATTTACACCATCAGCACTTGCATAGTACTTTAAGTTGGGGCCTGTCCCAACGCCAAGCTCCAGAATGTTCTCCCCCGCAACTGACAATTGGGAGAAGAGATTCGATTTATACTGCGCAATCTGCAAGCTTCACCAAGTGAAATGTTTAGTGAGAACATAACACGTTGTAAATATCACATCTCCGTTCCTGAAAACATATGACTGTATTTTTTATAGGAAAACTAAAACTACTGATCAGGTGATCATGGATATAACAAATAAGTACTAACACTTAACAGAACAGCACTCCAAGTGCCCACTTCTGACATTTATCTTCTCACCGGATGAAAATAAAAGTATGCATTACTTGAGACGCTTCACGAATCACGAGTTCACTATGTCATATTGTGCAATTCAATCAGATAGGAAACCAGACCGGCAATATCACAGATTGAAACATCCGAGAATTTGGGTTCGGTGGGTTCAGTTAGCTGCCCAGTTGCTGACACAGACTTGCAATCCTATGATGAGTTGTCTCATGGAAGTTGGTTAACACGTGACAAACTTGGGAATGATAAAGCAGTGGAACAAATATTAGGGGAAAATTATATACCTCGGCTTCATAAGACTGCATGCCCTTGTCCATGGCCGTCGCGTAAAGCTTCTCGTACCAGCCAGGCCTCGCTGGGTGCACCCGTTCAAGCATCACCTGCACCAAGCCACACCAAGTAAAATATAAGATTGTCACGAAGCCATGTAATTTGCATCGCAGATAGTGAATTGGTGACCGGAATAAGATTGGGCGTGAAGGAGCTTACGGCGGGGTCGATGGCTGGGGCGGCGAGGCACGGGGGGTTGACGAGATGGAGGAGGCCGGCGGCAGAGGATGCACCAAGGAGGTGGCGGCGGCCGCAGCGGCATCTCCCAAGGATAGCTACTAGAGTGCTTCTGCGGCGGGGTTTGAGGTTAGGATGTGAGCCGCGGCTGGGGACGGCGACCGCCGGGAGCGCGACGAGGCACCGCATGCCGAAGATGTTGGGGAACGGGGAGAGGAGTACGTGAACCAGGCTCGAAGGCGTAAACCACAACGCTCTGACACGGTTTTTTTTTCTTTGAGAATCTGACACGGTTAGGCTTATAAATTGCCGGGACATCGAAAGCCCAAAATCCCATATTTAGTTAGGCCGAGCCCATCAATATCTGGACATACTCCTTTTAACGATATTCTATGGGCTTTCCCTAGGCAAACGATATTCTATGGGCTTTCCTAGGCAAACGCCCGACGCGGCGAATCCTATTCCCCGCGTAGCTCGGGGAATAGTAATCAAAGGTGCACCCTCCGGCACGCCTCGTCCTCTGTACAAAGAGACGACCCGTTGTACCTTTTCCCCCACTGGTTTCGAGGAAGGCTAGCAAATTCGAAGGAATCATTGAATGAAAAAGGAGCAAAGAATGAAAAAAGACGAGTCTCTACTAGTCTTCACTCTTGTGGTTTTCTCTTCGTCGGTTTTTGTTTTCTTATTCGAAACCCTTCTTGAACCAGTTTTTTTTAAACATTTTTCATTATTATTTCCTTTATTGTTATTTTCATTTTTTAAAATCTTCAACTTGCAAAGTTTTTTTAAATCCCCGAATATTTTTTGAAATTCTTGATTTTTTAAGAAAATGAAGAACACCTTTAAAATTTTGAACAATTTTTTTAAATACGTGAATATCCTGTAAAATTGTGAAAATTTTCAGGTTTGCAAATAAATTATGAAATCACTGAAGATTTTCAAAATACATATCATTTTTTTATTTCATGAACACTTTTCAAAATCATGATTTTTTAGTTATGAAATTTTTCATAACCGTAATTGTTTTTTGAAATTGCAGATAATTTTTGAAATCATGGACATTTTTTAATTCATGATGTTTTGAAAGTTAAAAACATTCTTTTGAATTCGTGAACAACCCCGAACATTTTTTATAAAGTCATGAACATTTTTTCAGATTTGGGATTCGTGAACATTTTCGAAGTAAAAACAAGCAAAAAAAAGAAACAAAAAACAGGGC